AAAATTATTAAAGCCTTGTACATATAAACAAAATACTTATTTCTTCATAGAAAAATGAAATAAAGTTTTATATTTGCATGCGTGCGAACCTAATATTCCTTTCTAGTGGACATCTGATTCATCTCCTTAAGAAGTTTTATGGTAGACAAAGACAATGAAATTGGTTAACAGCTAATGCTTTATATTTTCTTTTTTTAATGATTTAAGTTTTATTTGGGATAGTTTTCTTACAGATTTTTTAAGTAATTTTTAATAAAAATAAAATAAAAAATTTATAATGTAAAGCTGCTTTATGAAGCAATAAGAAAATCATCCCAAACAACATCTTTGGCTTCATTTAGGACGGCTTTCTAACTACTTCAAACAGTTTTTTAGTACGAAAATTAAATTTTTATACTAAAAAACTATTTAAAAAATCAGTAAAAGTTTCATTTGGGACTGCTTTCTTATTACTTTCTAAAGAAGCTTTTTAAATTAAAAATTTTTGTACTAAAAAATAATTTAGAAAACATTAAGAAAACTCTCTCAAACACAACCTTAAAAACTATCCTATGTATTTATGAATTTGTATGGCTGGTAGCTTTTCTTAGTGATTTTGGCACTTGGCATGCAGGCTTGCTTTAATTCTGTTAGTCATGGAAGCTAAAGTTTTTAAATGGAAGTGCTCATGAAGGGTGCAGATTTGATCGATTTGATTTGCAGATTAATAAAATTAAGTACGTGATTTAGATTATAAAATTAATAAAATTGAATTGATTAATTTATTCTTGAATTGAATTGAATTGATTCAAATCAAATTTTAATTCAATTTTTTAGATTATAAAATTAATTGAGTTGCAGATTAAGAAGGATACTAAATAATTTCTGTTAAGATTTTCTGATTTTATTACATAAAATAAATAATATCAAATTTGATTTTTTATGTCACTAATTTATTATCAATTATTTAATTTTAATTTATTAATTTAATTGCTTTAATTTATGAATTAACTAGTATAATTTGATTTTTTATTATTAATTTTATAAAAAATTATATATATCTCAGGCTTTGTTTGGGACAACTTTTTTATTGATTTCTAAATATCTTTTTAGTTTAAAAATTTTATGTACTAAAAATTTGCTTTTAAAAATAGTTAGAAAGTTATCC